AAATCAATCAATAAATCAATAGAAATACGTACATCATACTGAATCAAAGATAGACGCAGTAATAAGAATTCGTTCACAATGTACATACGTATCCTGAGCTTTTCAACCAGTCGAGACCATTGTTCGAGTCAAACAAGCTACCCTCCACAACTACATCTTTTCTGCTCACAATAGCGCCGCCAAACTGCAAAAGTACAGAGGTCATTACAAAGTTATGAATAACCCGAAAGGATTATAATTAATGGGTATTCTCGACGCCGTTTAATTCATAAGGCAGATGAGTATGTAGTCATGTCTGTCTGATACACACGTACTTATCATCACAACGTAAGATGTGTAAATATACAACGACAGGTATGTAGCTATGCCTAATATATATAAGTACCAATCATCATAAACTTCGTTGATGCAAAGAGTAATCAGCGTGTGGCTCAAGACAACGAATTCTACTACTATATTTTAGTCAGTGTAAATCGTAGGTGGAATGAAACAAAACACGATTTCAATAAGTCAAACGTTCGAATGAGACGCTGCATGGTACTTGTACTTGTTGCTGGTATGTCCAACCCCACCATGTAAAAAAAAGTAAGAAAACTGGGGTAAGTTATGGAAGAAATTAAACTAATATCGATCTACGACTACAGGATGCTTAGTAAATACACCTTATTATTCAAGTCAGTAATCCAGCACAGCCTGACAATTCATATTTCACCACTTTGTATATATCTATATATATATAAATATACATACATACATACAAACATACATACATACATACACACACACACACATATATATATATATTATATTATATATATCCACACATAAATACATATATATAAATATATATACACATATACATATACATACATACATGTATATACATATATATATACATACACACACACACACACACACACATATATATATATATAAATATATATATATATAAATATACATTTATAAATATATACATATATATATTACCTACCTTGGCTGTATTGTTGAAAAAAATAGTTCGTCTGATGGACCATCCCACCGAATTGAGGTACATGGCGCCTCCCCACATACCTGGTAGACAAGATGGTTAGCTGCCAAGTGCTACTACATGATATACTGATGGATCCACATCATGTTTGCAACGTTAATGAATTAATGGATTTCTACTCATATATGCACATCATATTTGTAACGCTGATAGATGATATTCAATTGCAAACGCTTTGATAGCATTCAATAGATATCGGATTAAATATGAGAAGTACCTGAATTGTTGACGAACAAAGAGTCTTCGCAGATGTGACTGAAGGTTTGCTGGTCGATATTGTCTAACCCATAGCGGTTGTGATATATAGCTCCCAAACCCCCGGAATCCTGATGTGAAACCCAAAGCGCAGAAAAATGAATTGACCCAGATATGTCTTGGGTACAGGCCACAGATACAACCTAGATTTGTTGTGAGATGCACTAGAAACGCTGTAGCATATACTAGATATACTACAACACATACTATAAATGCCAAATACTTCAAATGCAAAGATGTATACAATAAATGCTATATTATGTACAATAAATGCTATAACAGATACAATTAAGGCTAGAATATAAACTATAACTCCTATAATATATACTATAAACGCTAAACCATATACCATAAATTACAACAAATGATACAATATTTAATATGAATGCTAAAATATATACAATATGATACAGTATATCTTATAAATTCTATAACAAATACAATAAATGCTACAAAATATACTATGAATTTTAAAATATATACAATGATACAGTATATACTATAAATTCCATAACAAATACAATAAATACTATAAAATATACAATAAACGCTATGAAATATACTACAAATGCTATAATAGATACTGTTAGTGCTCACATCGATTGCTACGGCTGCATTGGGCAAGATGTATATCCATTGTCAACCAATGAAGTTTGCAAGTCTATAGTAGAATTTACTCGACGAAGAAATACGAACCCATGCAGAACCGTGATGCGAGGTCAGACAAAAGTGCACATAAAGATATCGCTGAACGAAACAGCAATTTTCCCAAAGATTTCTCCAATTCCAAGATACTGCATTCGAGACCAGCATTTCTGATCTCGCATTCTAGAAAAAACAGGCCTACCAGAAACCGCACAAACTTAAACCCAGAGTTCGTTCTCTCGCATTTTTGAACAAGCAGGCCTAACAAAAACCGCACAAACTTAAACCCAGAGTTCGTTTTCTCCCAATTTAGAAAAAGCAAGCCTGCTACCATACCTCAATCTCGTTCGAATGCCGTCTATTGCTCAGAAATGAACAGTTGGTGATATGGCAATGGTGGTTGGTGGTCAGCGTCACGACGGCTTTGAATTTGAACTAGAATTAAAGGATTGATCGCGTGAATATCTTTCACTCATGCTACGTAATTGAAACTGCAATGAAAGGCTGATTGGGGTGAATACCTTGCACATAAACATCCTCAATTTGAACTGAAACTAATGGATGGTACGAGCGAATACAATGAACCTATATACTATACACATGTATCTATGGACAGTAGTTGGAGCGTAGATGAAGTACATGATGTTTGTATATGTGGAGATTGAAATGAAAATGAAGAAGCAAACAACGCAAGCTTGCCGTCGGCTCTAATGTGAGTTTTCGGCCACCTACAAATATTTGCTTCTGGACGAGATTTTGAATGCAAGATTGGATACGTGCATATATATATATATATATATATATATATATGTATTCCACGGTTATCCAAGTAGTAGATATTATCAAATAAACTATAACTGATTTAATGAGCCATTCGCAGTTTCATAATATATCGGCTCTAATGTGAGTTTTCGGCCACCTAAAATATTTGCTTCTGAACGAGATTTTGAATGCAAGATTGAATACGTGCATGTATATATTTATATAAATAAATATATATATATATATATATATATATATATTAATATGTTAACATATATATATACATTCATGCATATATATATATATATACATATATATATTTACATATCTATATATATATATACATATAATATATACATACATACATATATATATATATATATATATATATATATATAGACATATATATGTGTGTATGTGTTTGTAAAACTATACTCGATTGCATATTCTACCACATGTATAAGTACCACTATATATGGATCTAGTTTGTAATTTATCCAAATAAAGAAGCTTAACAGTAATCATGAGCCAGCCTTATGCTAACCATCACACCCAATACATACACATACGTGGTGCTATCAAGTACATACCGACCCTTCTGATGTACCTGGGAAGGGATTTCGACCATTCCCGTCAAAAATCATATCTTTGAGTGCGATGCCATCGGCCTGTATGTCTGCCGCAGCGTCTACAAGACGGGAGTCGATAGAAAGGTACTTGGGTTAAGGACTACTTTCGAAGAATAATGATGCAGGACATGTTTTGTGTTAAGGCATACAGTCCAACGTTAGAGCCAGTCATGCAATGAGTGATACCACACAGTACACATGCTACAGAACACAGCACACCGCAATTAAACTTTCGCGATCGTGTGATAACTTCTGGCGTACACTACACATATACGTATACATATAAAATGTTACCTTCACATCCGTACACGCCGAATCCTTCTAGAGTCACAGTACCCAATCCTAAAGATTCTCCCTCAAGAAAAACATTGCCCAGTCCCACGTCAATAAGCAACGCTACCCCTGAACCAGCTGCACAGGTGATACCAACACCTTGGGTACAGCCCACTACATGGATCGAGCTGTTGAAGCGGTTGCTGAGTACATCCTGAACGGTGAGGTTGAGATTTGCTATTCTCTCTGTGATAATTTTAAAAGTTATTGATCGTGTCAAGATGCACATATCTTCTTAACATGTTTACAATAGAAGTATAAGATGTATAATACACACGAGGTTGTACTATGCAAAGCAATTGTAATCCACTTCAGACCAGATGTCGAGTTTAGCAGCGCTGGGAGTAAATCGACTCCATGATGGATTGCGGAACAGACTATGCTATCAATGAGACTATTGGGAAATGGTTTCAGCGTAAAATTTAATATCAATATAGGAGACCCCAATTTGACACAGCACTATTTGGAATACGAGTGTGAACATCAATGACATAATCTACCATGAATCGATTGACGATTTCATACAATACATTGGCTAGAGGGGTGGGACAGATCACCTTCACGACAATATATATGTCGACAATGGCAGAGTGGACACCGCCATCCTCACATTGAACAACACATATCACCTAGCATACAAAATCCATACCAATTGCAGACAGTCCATTATTATATTCACAACAGCGCGCGATACAATAAAGTTACTCTACACTGATTAATCACCCAACCTTAGCTGAAAAAAAAAGCAGCATAAGACAACTACTAATAGTAAAGCTACCACAAGCTGGCAGTTCTATAAGAAAACTGCCTTATATGTATCTACGTCCGTATATATAATCAAAAACAGCCAATCGCGCTACGGTAGAGCTCGCGAGAAGGAACATGGCATGTAGCATCGCCTCGAATGGAACGAATAACAAATACATTACAGCGCAACGAAGGTACCTACTGATATGTCATCACATAAGACATGCATATGGCAAGGAATTTGACGGAGATATCTAACTACGGTCGGCGGCAGCACCAACGGGTTATAGCCTACGGCCTGCGTGATACTGCGATTATTTTTCATACACTCCCAAAGCTCAAGATAAAAATTCGACAGGCGACAAGAATACTTAATCGCAGCCCTAATCTTACGGGTTTATGTGATATTGCGTAACGATTTGGGCACTTCTTCATAGCTCAGACTATACATTCGAAATAAGGTAAAAGTCGTTATATACAGGTTATATCTTACGTGCTTGTGTGATACTGCGTTGAATTTGGATACTCTCCCATAGTAGCACTGGAGTCACGTCTCTGGCTGCATCCATGGCCTCTTGCAGTCCACTGTAGCACTGCAGTTTAAAATACGACCGTGAAAATTAAAACATACGTTGGAATGTAGAGCCCCATATAAGCCTATACAATCTTGACGTTTAAACACCTACAGACACAAACATTTATGAATGTCAATATCTACATAAAAACATATAGATGATACAGATCAAATACACACACACACACTGATACATATATGCACACACACACACACACACACACACATATATATATATATATATAGAAAATATAGAATATATATTACTAATTTATACGTAACAAAAACGCACACACACACACACTATATATATA